TGATCTAAACAGGATCATAATAGGCTCATATTTTGATGACCATAATAAGATGATATTTATCCCATAAAAAAATGACATAATTATGACTATATTATGATACAATAAATTAGATAAATATGGGAAAGATATGATTTAAAAATGAGCCATATATGGCACATAAATGAATCATTCATGGCTCATTTTTTATCTCATTCTTCACGGCCTGGGTAAGAACATGAGCAAGAAAGCTTGAGAAGACATGAGTAACTGTAGCAAAATATCAGGAACAAAAAAAAGAAAAATGTCTCTATAACTAAACGACCTTCTTTTCAATTTAGCGGAATTATTACAGATTCAGATACCACCGCTATCAAACACTTCCTTATGTCCTTCGAAACAATTAACCATTCACAAAGTTATAACTCTTTCTAGTCTATCGATTACTTATAACATAACTTTTCCGGTTTGATTATAGACCAATGAATTGTGTGGCAAGCTCCCTACTACTAATACTGTCATGCAACCTAATTCATTGAGTATCTGCAAAATCGAAATAGGTCATTTTTTGACCAAAGTAAAATAAAACCACTCTAACTCAACAGCGAGCTGGCGGTGGCAGCTAAAAATATCATATTTGTGATTAGTGCACTTAGCTCTACCAGACTCTATGTATTTGTCCAAAATCCCCGGGAGACAGTTCGGGATGTTCCCTCATTAGACAAAATTGTGAGGCCTTCAAAAGACAGACTGATCAGACACTTCATAAACTTTTTGTCGGTAAACACCAGGTATTAATCGTTCGTGAACATGAAGTGATTGTTGAAACCATTCTTTCGATTAGCCATTTTTAATGAATTTTCGTTATGAAACTCAAAATTTTCATGATCAATCAATTTTTCATATTCAACTGATGACCGATGCTTTGTTACGTAGCGTTTTATACGTAACTTGTTTCCTTCTTTGTGTCAGAGCCAACAATGAATTATGCTGTCATGTTTTATTAACACAACATATTTACATCAGAAAACGAGGACATTACGCCAGAGAATGAGAATTTCCAGAGTACATGAATGGGGCTTTCTACGCTTCTCCTAACAACTTAGGATCATTTTCTTCTGTTTCTTTTTCTTCATACCTACTTTCACGGGAAAATGAAGAACCGATGATGAAATAAATGAGTTTCAAAAATTGCCCCTGATCTTCTTGAAAAAATTATTTCTTATCATTTTTCGTTATGAGTTCAACAAAGGTCATCCACTTTGTTTTTTTCTAGGCTTCAAAATGAACTACAATATTTTGTTTTAAAAGTTTGCACTCATAGCTTTATTGGCTAATATGGGATACATATCTCGATTTCCTAGTGATATATAAAAATAATCAGTTTTGTATGTGAAGTGCTTCTTTCTTTCTACATCATTATTGACAATGAAATTTTATTAGTAGAAAGAAAAATTCTTTATTTATGTGTATTCTTTTTATTCTTAATCTAGTGAAAACGAACAGAACCGCGTGACATATGTGTGAAAGAAAAAGAATGTGATATAGCTCTAACATAAATGCCACATGGATAAAAAATAATTATATTTGCTTTCCTTTCTTTAATCCTAGGTGAACAGCTGATAGTTTATGTTACTTTTTGTGTTTGATTTCAAGTAGCAACACACTATGTCGAACCAACAAATATCAATCGATGGATTTTCTTTTGATCGCAATTCTGATCGACAAAGTTTATCTACTGAAAATACCCTCGTAAAATCGATGACATCTGAATTAAATGATATCTATGACGTAATTGTTGTTGGGGCTGGGTTTGCTGGTTTGATATGTGCTCGAAATTTACGTTTATCTGGGTATTCTGTTTTATTGATCGAAGCGCGTGATCGTATTGGCGGTCGTACTTATACAGTTGAAAAAGATAAACATCTATATGAACTAGGCGGCACATGGATTCACTGGTCTCAACCGTTTGTTTGGACAGAAATGCAACGGTACGGTCTCCACATAGTAGAATCCATTGGTGCCATACCTGATGATGTCAGTTACATCAGTGATGGAAAATTGAAACAATGTCAGGCAAACGAAATTCTACCACAACTCAGTGAAGCAATGTCAAAATATTGTACAATCAACGATCAACCATCAATTTTAACTTATCCGTACGAAGAAAATATTAAAAATGATCCGATTCTTTTACAATTGGACCAAATGTCTTTGTTGGACAGATTTAAACAAATTAAGCAGACTTTATCTGTGGAGATGCAAGACTTATTGCTAAGCTTTCTTTCGATGAATACCCATGCTAATTTGAACGAAGGGGGTTTCTTAACACAATTACACTGGTGGTCATTGGGCGATTCTGAGCTTGGTCGAATGTTAGATAAAGTTAGTCGGTACAAAGTCGCCGAAGGGACAAGTCATTTAGCCAATTGTATTTTCAATGAAGCTAATGGTATACATTTACTCTTATCAACCCAAGTCGAGACGATAGAACACAGCAATATAGTTGTCATTAATAGAAAGTACAAAGCACGTACATGTATCATCACTGCACCCATGAATGTCTTAGCTAATATTGAATTTATACCCAAACTAAAAAATCATTTATTTTCAAACCATGCTGCTAGGCACGGGGGTAAATTTTATGCAAAAATTGAAGGAAAAATTGGCCGTTGGCTTGGTTTTGCTCCACCACCTAATCTGGTCACAATGGCATTTTCAGATTATGAAGAGAATGATAGTACATGGATTGTTGGCTTTGATTCCACAGGGCGTCTAGATATATCGGATATTCAAAGCGTACAACAAGCTCTACAAACATTATTACCGAATGCTACTGTTCAGTCGATAATTGGTCACAAATGGGCACAAGATCCTTATGCACAAGGTACATGGTGTTGGCTTCGTCCCACACAAATGACATGTGATATGCATTTATTGCGAACACACGAGGAACCGCTATTTTTTGCGTCGGGCGATTATGCTTGTGGATGGCGTGGATTCATCGATGGAGCAATTGAAAGTGGAGTTAAAGCATCGATGAAGGTTAAACAGTATTTTACTACGAAAATAACTACGAGTATCTAATTAAGAAACAGTTTTAATGTACAATCATACCTGAATGATATCGATGTCTGGTTTCCTTATTTCGAATGACTGATTGTGCATGAATGATAAAAAATCTGATATTGTTCAGAAACGTTTTCAGCATGCCATGAGCCGTGTTTAGACTTTCTTTCGGCATTTGAACTATTGAGAATATTTTGAGTTTTGTTTCGCAGAAGCACAAAAGCAAATTATTTATCAGGATGCATAAAGCTACATCCTCCTCATTTTTGATTTAAAATATCGGAAAAATATCGCTTTTATGAGAATATTGGACTTATTAGATTCATTAAAACTTACGAGCTATTGTGGTTCAACATTGACCGATAGTGCCCGAGAAAGACGCTTAAAGTGGTATTAGATTATCCAACGAGGCAATGCTTCGTACATGTGACAGAAACAACTCTGGTCGACTTCGTACATTTTTGACTTGAAATTAGTCTCTTCCTGCTATTGGTAATTTTCATATGTGAAGTTCTTTGTAAATAGGGCGAAGATTATGAACATAATAGTTTGATGATAGTAGCTTCAATATGTGGATGGAAAATTAACGTGCTTAGTTTGCCGATGACTGAAGTTACATTTCTTGTTCTGCACAAACAAAGAGAAATTACTTTCTGTGACATTAAAATATATGAACTATGTTTAGCGCGGTATGCAAACTATCTAAACAGAACAGTAACCTTAAGCGTTTATGTCGATGAGGTAGAAAACAAAGTAAAAAGGGACAAATAACACACGCATTTATTTTTTGTTCCTTCTTTTTTTTTCTGTTATTTCAAGCACATGGTTTATTATGTGTGTCATTATCATCCCCAACAGTCACGAAGAGAGGATAACACTAACAGCATAAAAAATAAAAAGAAAGAGAAATTTTAGTGTTTATTCGGTTTCCTTTATCAAATTGTCGTTTGTCACTTTCTTTTATTATAAATACAGCAGCAACGAACGATTTCTTATTTTTCGTTTTTTCTCTCCCGTCGGTCAAGCCTTTGGTTTATATATGCTAAATTATGTATACTTAGTTATTCAACCAGTAATTAGATAGCTCTTTTTTAGTTTCTCTCTTCTCATTTTTTTTGTTATTAATAAAATAATTAATAGGCCTCTACCATTCAGATGGAGCTATAACGAGTGGCTCAGATTAAATGGAACAAGATCATTTTCTTTTTTTGGACTACTCAGATACACTTTTATGTTCATTCGATAGATAATTGAATTCTCTACAAAACCTGCTATTTCAATCTCTGATAGCATTTTTTTTGTTTGAGCACCATTCAAAATATTGAATGGTGCTGAGTTGTCGCACTGCGACGTGCTTTTTTCGTCTCCTTTTTTAAGACTTTTAGCCATTTGTCTGAGGTTCAATAGTTAGTTTTTCTAGGTAGAAGCATAGAGAATTTTGTACTCTATGGATCTTACTCGTTTACAATTTCATACAATGTTTTCGCTACGTAAACTGACCTTATAATTAGTTCTCAGCCGGCGTTTCAATTTTTCCAAATTAAATTAATTTTCTTAATTAATGGTTTCAATTGAGAAACCTTATTTATGTATCAAATAATGCAGAATTTAATTCTCTATAAGATAATAAGACTAAAATTCTCGATTCCGAACGTCCTACTGCTTTCATAGCCAAAAAACTAAAGTCTGTAAAAAATAGGTTCAAAAATTAGGTTGTTTTAGATATATCAGTTTATTACACAAAAACATTTTTCAATGTATATACATCACTATTTTTATTGACGAGGACTGTGCCTAAAGTTGAAACTTAAGCAAGGAGCAAACTGGCTGTATGAGTGATTATTCAGAATTCGCTGGAAACGGGAAGCTGAGGGAGCGTTTCAAAATCTATTACCGTCGGTCGGTCACTATTCCTGGGTTCTTCTCTTCCGAGACTATTTCTGTATAAACCAGTAGCGAACCTTGAATTTTTTATGGAATATATAGTAAAAAGTTAGGGCTTTCTCGTGGTATCGCCAAAAAAATTTCAAAATCTTTTGGAGATTCAGAATCCTTTGGAGATTTTGAGGAGGATTTCCAAAAATCGATTTGGTCTCTTTTTGCGATAGATAGATTTTCAGCAAGGCAAAATGGAAAATAACTTTCAAATAGTGCATTCGACTCGCCTTTGCATTATCTATCGAATGGTAAAACAAAAACTTTCATGGCTTTTAAACTGAAATCGAAAAATTCGAGATACCGGTGGGGATTTTTGACTTTTTGCCTGTTTTACGCTCGTTTTCTTTATAATCTCGAATTCCCGAGGTCGCTTTCATATACTTTTCGTACCTATTCAACATGGACTTTCAGATCGCACAAGATACGATTTGCCCCAACTCAATGCCTTGTAGGTATAAACCCCATAAAATTTGATTTTTCCAGTTTTGATGACTTTTTCAGCTTTCTAAAAATGATATGATACTACTTTAGGATTACAATTTCAAGGTAAATTTGCATACTGAATTCGATGCTCATGTCGAAAGTACTCAGCTAGTCACTGTAAATTCTAAAAAAAGTTCTAGTTTTCCAGTTTTAATAAACTTCAATATTCATATGGCTACAAGTACAAGATTATAGAAAAATTTTGCGCTGTCGAAGCTTCTCGCTTCATCTTCAGTCAAACTTTTTCGTAAAATGTGAAAAAGCTGAACATATATATATATGTATCTGACACACACACACACCCCACATTAACAAATATGTTTTAATTTGTGTCAATCAGGTATGGTTGACTTGCTTTCGATTTCTTCCAACCTACAAGATAATCGAAACAACATAAGACCTGCTGGTCAATTTTTATAAGTACTGCATATTCTCAGATATATGAATCCACGACATATCACTGGATCGAAAAATTTTAAAAGTTTTTCAGTCAAAACCGTTTGCATATTCGTCTTCTTTATGATCAATTATCTGGTATGCGATAATTTCGGGATCGGGGTACTTAAGAGAAAATTTCTCATGGTCGTGCTCAAAAAGTTTTCGAAAAGTTAATGTATGGGACCAAAGGCAAAACGATATCGAAAAACTTCTTCTTAAGTACCCCGAACCAGAATTTATCGCTTAGCAGATAATCTATCGTGAGAAGACGAATCTGCAATTGATTTTGACCGAATGAGCTTTTAAAATTTTTCGATCCAGTAATATGATTGTCTCCGCGCGCTTTTGAAGAAATGCTCTACGAAAAACGCAGAAGGATCTATCCTGTACAACAGTTTGTGAGAATTACACTATCTAAGTAATATTTACTTATAATTATATCGATAGTAAATAATAATGATTTAGGTTTTTCGTTAATCCTATGGTGTAACGGTAGCACTCTGGACTTTGAATCCAGCAACCCCAGTTCAAATGTGGGTAGAACCTGAACTTTGGTGTCACCAACATGTCATGAATAGAGCGTGGTGAAAAGTTAAATTGCAGCAAAAAATGATATCAGTTCTCACAGAATTTTAAAATACTGGAACGTGAAACAATCATTAAGTCGAACACCAGCATCACAGTAGGAGAAATAGATGATCACATTCATGTTGATGGCGATGTTAGTGTAGAGAACGATGAATAATCCAATTTTGAATAAAAAAATGTACTGATACCATTTTTTGCTGCAATTTAAGTTTTGTATTCTTGACATGTTGATTACAAAAAAGTTCAGGTTCTACCCAGATTTGAACTGGGGTTGCTGGATTCAAAGTCCAGAGTGCTACCGCTACACCATAGAACCGACGATGAAGTAACGAAAAACGTAAATCATTATTATTTACTATCGATACAATTATAAGTATATTGCTTTTTTCTCATGGGCTGATAGCTCGGGATGTCCTCTCCAAAATCAAGGTAAAGTGAAACCTTGGTTTTCCATGGTTCGGGCGCTGTATCGGATTTCCTACGAGTCCCAGAACTGGCGCTCGGTGACTATTGGTAGCCTTAAAGACTGATGGACTGTGGGTAATCAACCATGCTGAGTTTTGTGGAAATATTTATTTTTAGAAGCGACAGCAGAAACACTGAAAGTAAACAACTCTGTCACTAAACTTGATCTTAGCTACAATAGAATATGCGATAGAGGAGGTGAAGCACCAACAGAAGCACTGAAAGTGAACAACACTCTCACCCAACTTGGTCTTAGAAGCAACCAAATATCGGAGAGAGGAACCGTTATTGTCGTGACCAACTCTTATTTTACAAAAAATTTGTAAATCGTGATCGCGACGCGACTATTTTTCTTACAGTGATGGCGCTCGGATCACGAAGTCGCGACGCGATCACTAAGAAGTCGGTATTGTCGCGGAGTGCTCGCGACCAACTCTTACTTTACAAAAAACTCGTAATTCGCTATCGCGACGCGATAATAGGGACTTTTTAGCGACTTCGCAACTCCTGTTAGAAAAAACTGTCAGGTCGCGATCGTATTTTTCTCTTACGATCGCGACATGATACAGCGGTGGATCTTCCATGCAAATCCTATTCACCGTTTTGTTTTGCTTACGCGCCTGGTATATAGCTCTTACTGATTTTTCCAAAAATTTTCAAAATCTTATCACATCTTAATATTAGCTTATAGCATGACTAATATAGTCCTGCGTAGTCGCGTGGGGTGTACGTCGTTCGTCTGCGTTCTCGATAAACGTAGGGTGACTCATTTACTGCTATTAGACGGAAAGCGCGAATAAATAGTAACTTTAGCAAAATACTCAAGAGTCATTGGTTTTTGTATGAGCGCAAAAGATAGCGATCGCTAAAAATCGCGTCTTATTTCGCGAGTCTTACAGCGTACGCGATCCCGCTGTGAATTTTTTAAGCAAGATGCGATAAAGCAGTGGACTTGGGAAGTTCATTTTGGCATTCGAATAATGTGATATGCGAATGCGAAAAGCATTACTCTAGACAAAGTAAAAGAGAGTGTGAAAAGAGGTCTGGGACAGGTAGCTACTGTAATGTAATCAAAACACTGAAATAATTGTAGTAGATGTACTTTA